CGGGTTCATTTTGCCTAACATCAACTTATCTGACCTTTTCTGCTTGTCTCAGACATATACTAGATATTGCAAATAAGGGAAACCATGGGACCTATGTTTTTTTGGGCCCAGCTTACTTCACTTAATATAATTTTTTCCAAGTCTTTCCATTCCCTAACAAATGGGGCAATGTCATTCTTTCTGATGGAGGTGTAAGATTCCATTGTGTATATATACCACATTTTCTTGATCCATTTGTCTACTGAGAGGCATCTGGCTTGGTTCCATATCTAAGTGGGCTAAAGACTTACAGAGAAACTTCTGTGAAGAGGAAAGAAGGATAGCCAATAGACACATGAATAAATGCTCAACCTCTCTAGCCATAAAAGAAATGCAAATCAAAACAACATTGAGATACCACCTCACCCCAGTTAGAATGGCTATAATCAAGAAATCTAATAACAACAGATGCTGGAGGGGATATGGACAGAAGGGAACCCTACTGCATTGTAAACTTGTTCAACCACATCTGAAAGTAGTATGGAGGTTCCTCAAAAGACTCCACATAGAGCTCTCCTATGACCTATCAATCCCACTTTTTGGCATTTACCTGAATGATCACAAACAAGACCATACTTGGCAACATTTTTATTGTCAAGGTGATGTAGAAAGGGGCTATGCTTACATAAGAAAGGTAATAAGAATGATGTATACCATGCCCTAAAGAAACTATCAACGAAGAATACTATACCCAGCTAACCTCTCCTTCATAATGGAAGGTCAAATAAAAACCTTCCATAGCAAAGAAAAACTGAAACAATATATCTCCACCAAACCAGCCCTACAAAAGATGCATAAAGATGTCCTACACCTAGAAAACCAACAAGACCACAATGAAGGCCAAGAAACCACACCCAAACTGAGAATTCAAGAATCTCTTCAATCTAGTATTAGAATGCCTAGCTACAGCAATAAGACAAGATGCAAACATAAAGGGGATCCAAATAGGGAAAGCTGAAGTAAAACTCTCCCTCTTTGCAGATGACACGATCTTGTATTTAAAGAATCCCATAGACTCCACTCCCAAATTACTCAAGCTGATTCTAAACTTTGGTAAAGGTTAGAAAAAAGTCAATGGCTTTTCTGTATACCAACAATGAGACGAGTGCAGCTAAAATCAGAAAAGCAAGTCCTTTTGTAATAGCCCCACAAAAAATTAAATACCTAGGAATAAACTAAAGAAGTGAAGGACCTCCATGATGAAAACTTTAAAAGCCTGAAAAAGGAAATAAAAATAGAACTTAGGAAGTGGAAAAACCTCCCATGCTCCTGAATTTCAACATCATGAAAATGGCAATACTTCCAAAGGCTATCTACATATCCAATGTGATACCTAATAATATTCTAATCTCATTCTTCAATGAAATAGAAGAAGCAATCCAAAAATTCATATGAAACAATAAAAGACCCAGGATAGCAAAAACGATCCTCAACAGAAAGAATAGTGCTGGAAGAATATCAATACCAAATTTCAAACTCTGCTACAAAAGCCATAGTAATCAAAACAGCTAGGTACTGGCACAAGAACAGACCTCAGGACCAATGGAATACAACTGAAGACCAAGAAATGAACCACAGACCTATAGCCACCTAATCTTCCATAAGGGAACTAAAACAATAGAATGGAAGAAAGACAGCCTCTTCAGTAAATGGTGCTGGCAAAATTAGTTAAATAGCTGTAGAAAACTAAAGCTAGATCCTTATGTATCACCCTGCACCAGAATCAACTCCAAATGGATCAAAGGCCTCAGAATCAAAGCAGACACCATGAAAACATTCCAGGAAGGAAAAGGAGAAACCCTAGGTTTGACTTACTTCACTTAATAGGATTTTTTTCCAAGTTTTTCCATTTCCTTACAAATGGAGCAGTATCATTCTTTCTGATGGAAGTTTAGAATACCATTGTGTGTGTGTAATATGTGTGTGTGTGTGTGTGTGTGTGTGTGTATCGCAAGCAGAAAAGGTCAAAAGCCATGTATATATGATGATATAAGATGATGCTAAGTGAAATGAAACCGAAGATAGGGACACAAATGGTTTTATCTTTTGGAGGGTTATTTTTAATGTATTTATAATGTTCTATGTGATTTTTTTCATTTCTTTTATATGTTCTTCCCCCATGGTATAACCCCTTTTTTCACTATATTTGATTCTGGTACCCTGAATCTTGTATATACATTTTTCTAATTTGAGGAAGGGAAAGGAAATAACAAAATGCTGAAATAAGGAAACAGGTTGACCATTGTAACAATGAGAGGTACAAGACACTATGTTGAAAATGAACTTTACAACTTCAGGGTGGTGGGTAGGGAGGAGTTGGGGAGGTGGAGAGGGAGGGGATGGTAGGGGAAAACAAAGGAGGGGGGTAACAATGCTCGATAGGAAATGTACTCATAACCTTTCTCATATAACTGTAATCCCTCTGTACTGTATCTTTACAATAAAAAATACATACAAAAAAGCAAAAATAGAGGCATATTATAGATATGTGTGGCAAATTGCATATGCTTCTATTTACACTTACGTTCCCATCTACTTTTTATTAATTTCTGTTGTTGTTGTTGTTTTTGGTCAGTTGTGGGGCTTGAACTCTGGACCTGGGCGTTGTCCCTCAGCAATTCAGTTCAAGTCTAGTGCTCTACCACTTGAGCCACAACACCACTTCCAGTTTTCAGGTGGTTAATTGGAGATAAGTGTTTCACAAACTTTCCTGTCTGGGTGACTTTGAATCGTGATCCTTAGTCTTCTGAGCAGCTAGGATTACAGGTGTGAGCCAAGAGATCTTGGCTTTTTTTTTCTTTTTCTTTTTCTTTTTAATTTAATTTTGTTTTGTTGTAAAGGTGATGTACAGAGGGGTTACAATTACATAAATAAGGTAATGAGTACATTTCTTAAAGAACATTGTTACCCACTCTCTCCTTCTTCCACTTTCCCTCCCCGCCAACTCCTCCCCCCACCAAGTTGTAAAGTTCATTTCCAACCTAGTGTCTTCTTGGTATTGCTGTTGCATTGTTTCACCCTTTGTCCTTGTTTCACCATTTTGTTATTCACCTTTCCTTCCCCAAATGAGCTAATTGTATATATAAAACACACAGTACCAGAATCAAAAACAGTGACTACAGGGGATAAACCAAAAGGAAAAAGAAAAAGAAAGAAAGAACTTCATGCAATATATTAAAAACAACAACCTCAACAATAACAAAGATCCTCATTTCTGTATCTTGGAGGTCATTTCAATTAGTATCATTTTATATGGTCATATGTATATAGGTATTGAGCTATTGTGATCCTCTGCTAGGACTATCCTACACATATACAAATTATTACAGATAAGGGAAACCATGGAGCCTATGTTTCTTTGGGTCTGGCTTACATCACTTAATATGATTTTTTGTTTGTTTTTAAGCTAACTCTGCCAAGATCTATTAAAGAAAATTTGTGCACTCCTTACTTTTCTCCAATTTGTTCTGGCAAGTTTCTAATGATATCAGAATCACTGAATCAATGATAGCTAGTATCCATACTCTGTAGTATTTTCCACATGCTGTGCCTAGTTCAATATTATTGCCACTGTAGTGATAAACACCAGTTTTTGCAAAGTAGCATAGTATTCTATTTCAGATTCCCTCATGGCTGGGAAGTTGTTGGCAAGGATGACTTTTCCCTGTCTGATCATCTTCAGAGTCTGCTTGAACCCCAGCATATACTCTCCACTTTTTGTAACAAGTTGAAGTCTAGAGTTGATCGACTCCAGAGACTTTTTCTTCTTCTTGGTGACCACCATTTTCCTGTCTTAGGTGTAGGAGGGCTCCCAACTGAAAGCAACTGACAAGATGGCTGAGTGGAAAGAAAGGGAACATCCCTTAATATGATTTTTTTCCAAGTCTTTTCATTTCTTTATGAATGGAGTGATGCCATTCTTTCTTATGGAAGCATAGAATATATATATATATATATATATATATACCACATTTTCTTGATTTATTCATCTACGGAAGGACATCTGGGTTGGTTCCATATCTTAGCTATGATAAATAATGCTGCAATGAACATAGTTGTGATGGTAGCTTTAGTATGTCATTGTCTTGAGATATTTGTAAATACCTAGAAGTGGGATTGCTGGGTCATAAGAAAGCTCTATGTGTAGTTTTTTGAGGAATCTCCATACTACTTTCCAGAGTGGTTGAACCTGTTTCCATTCCCACAATGTAGTAGCTTTCTCTTTTGGTCACATCCCCACCAGTATCTGTTATTAAATTTCTTGATAATGTCCATTCTAAATGGGGTGAGGTGGGATCTCAATATGGTTTTGATTTGCATTTCTTTTATGGCCAGAAATGTTGAACATTTTTTCATTAGTCTATTGGCCATTCTTATTTCCTCTCCAGAGAAGTCTCTTTTTAATTCACACACACACACACACACACACACACACACACACACACAAATCAATCATTAATCATTAATGCTGCATACACAGAAGCTTTATTTTTAAGAATTTCAATTCAGAAACAGTTCAGATAGTGGTGAAAATTCTGCAGTGGCTTAAACCCAAGCTTTTTTTTAGTCTCTATAGAAGGCAAAAAATAATTTATGTAGAAGGCAAAAAAAAACCCTACAATTATTGGAGTCCATGAGTCTACAGTTGATCAATCAAATCTGTACTTACTGACTAATCTGCATCAACAGCCTGCCAGATATCTAGGAACTCTGAGAATGCTTTCTCTCTCGACAAATGCCTCCATATAACATGATTTCACAGGCTCATGAGCCAGCAAGCCTGGTTCCTTGGAAAGCCTTACTTGGGGACACAATTTAAGAATCAAAGTTCTGTTTTTAAAACTTCCCTGTACTGGACTTTCTCATTTTCCTTTCCAGATTCGCCATTCTATTCCTTTAGAAGTTGGTCTCTGTGGATTTCTTGATTCCCTTGTCCTTAAATTTCTGATCAAGATTCCCCAATGAGGAGCAACATCAGAAAATACACACAAGGTACTGATTTCCCAGGTGAAGAGAAATCATGGAGATGGGGCCTAGAGAATGGAAAAAATTGAAAGCAATCTGGGCATCAGTGGCGCAAACCTGTAACACTTGCTACTCAGGAGGCTAAGATCTGAGGACCATGGTTCAAAGACAGTCTGGGGAAGGAAAGTTCTTGATGCTCTGATCTCCAATTAATCACCAAAATGCCAGAAGTAGAGCTGTGGCTCAAGTGGTTCAGAGCAGCCTTGATCAAAAGAGATCAGAGACAGCACATAAGTGCAGAGTTCAAGCCCCAGGACTGGAACACACAACATACAAAAATATAAGCAACATACACACACACACACACACTACACCACACAATCACCAGCCTGCAGCCTCAACTTTGCACCTACTCCATGCTCCTCTATGGATCCATACCATAAAAATACAAAACAAGGAAAGAAAAGTCAAAATGCATACTCCTTGCTAATCAACATACACACACACACACACACACACACACACACACACATATACACACACACCACCACCACCACACCATCACCAGCCTACAGCCTCAACTTTGACCCTCTCCATGCTCCTTTTATCAATCCAAACCACCTTGTAGGAGGCCTCTATTCCTTATGAGGAATATATAATTTTCTACTGTAGAAGGTCCTGAACCTAGTCTATTTCTTGTTAAAGAGCCTGATTCCTTTCCCTGGGCCTTCACTAGAAATTCTCTTTGCTAAATTCTCTTTTCCTCACTGAGCATCTGAACTCTGCTCTGCTGAGATATTAACCACAGAACCTCTATGAAGAGAGAAAGAACAGAGGTGGGGGCCAGGAACGGGCGCGCCTCCACACCAGACGCTGTGGCCACTCAGTGTCCACGACCCCACGCGCAGGGAGTACTCCGTGTTCCGGCCCCGCACCATAGAGCAGGCGGTGGAGGAAATCCGTGCGGTGCTCCAGCCGGTGGAGGACGGAGAGATTCAGGGAGTGTGGCTGCTGACCGAAGTGGACCACTGGAACAACGAGAAGGAAAGGCCAGTGCTGATCATCGACCAGTCACTGCTCATCTGTAAACACGACCTCATCGTCCTTTAGTGTCAGCAGGTGGTCAGGGTGGCGCTCGGGGGCGGTGGACACCATCTCCTACGGGGAATCCCAGTTTCCTTTCAAGTCACTCAACCAGCCAGAAGGCTTTGGGGTTCACATTCAGTGGGATAAGCAGAGCCCCCTTTCTTTCATCAGCAGGTGGAACCCCTGGTTCCCAGCGTGACCTACGCCACTTTCATAGGGCACGCGATGGCAGGGGTGGACATGAGGGCGGCGTTTCTGTGCTAACTGGAAAGCTTCAAGGCTTTGTTAATCCAAGCTGTCAAAAGAAAAAAGGCCCAGAAAGTCTTTTGCCAGGACAAGGTAACAGCGTGCAGGTCCTGGAGCGCCCACTCTTCATTGAGACCTCCTTGGGGCTGATGTTCTTCATCAACAACGAGGCCAAACTGGGTTACTCCAGGACCAGGGGGAAAAATAGGCTTCTGAGCGTCAGCATGGTGGGCGCACCCCAGGCTGGTGGGGTGCAGGGGTGGGGCTGCAGGGGTGTAGGGATCTGAGCACAGTTAGAACAGTCAAGTAGATTCTAAGTATTTAGTCAGATGTTGGATGCCAGCAGATGCAACACTGGGCGTAGAATTTGGTAGCTGAGATCCAATCCACTTTTTAAGCTCAATACTAAAGTAGCCCAGAGACAGGCCACAAGCACAAGGCAGCCAGGGCTGCTTAGCTCCTAGTGAACAGTAGCTCTTGTAAATACGTTCAGCTCAAAGTCATCCTCTTTCTAGAATCAATCCAAATTGTGTTAATAATTGGCATCTTGCCCCGGCATAAAAAGGTTAGTCCTTAACACAAGTTATAACTCGAGGGAGTCGCCATTGATCATTATTTGCACACAATTTTGACAGCTAGATGCATCCTAAATTTGTGTTCTATCCATGTTTAAAGGGGGCTGGGGAGTTTGCTTATTAAAGATGCACTTTCATAAAAGGCAGGAAAGGAAAGAAGGAAGGAAGGAGTGAAATCATGTTGAGCTAATTTTCCCACTAAATCCTAATCACTTGTTAATAAACGGAAATGTTCCTTGATAAGCCACTCTTTAGCAAGAATTCAAACTTCTGACTCCAAAAGAGTGAGCCACCAAGGAGACATGTAATAAATAAGCAAGTAAAATGGATTTGGTGATAACCACTGAAGAACAGCTGTAGACCCAAAAGGACAACAGTACAGGAAAGAGACTTCAGAAAAGAGGAAAGCTGAGAACCATCTATTTGAGTCCTAAAGGATATTAAAAAAAAATCAATTAATCTATCAGTTTGCAACTTTGCCAGGACCAATTTTACTTGCCCCTTGGTTCCCATTAGTATTTTTACTCAGTATCTAGTGACTTCATAGAAGAAAATCTATTGTTATCTTCTTTAAACTCCACTTTTGGGGGTGGAGGTGGCTGCTGAACTGGGATATTGAACTCAGCATCTTGCCCTTGCCAGGCAGTTGCTCTACAACTTGAGCCACACTTAACAGCCTCTATATCTATTGATTATTTGGGTGGCGGGGGCGGGGAGGTGATCCTGAGGCTTGAACTCAGGGCCTGGGTGCTGTCCCTGAGCTCCTTTCATTCAAGGCTAGCACTCTACCGCTTGAGCCACAACCGCCACTTCCGGCTTTTTCTGTGATTAATTGGAGATAAGAGTTTCACAGACGCCGGGCGCTGGTGGCTCACGCCTGTAATCCTAGCTACTCAGGAGGCTGAGATCTGAGGATCGTGGTTCAAAGCCAGCCCGGGCAGGAGAGACCGTGAGACTCCTATCTCCAATAAACCACCAGAAAACCGGAAGTGGCTCTGTAGCTCAAGTGGTAGAGCGCTCGCCTTGAGCTGAAGAGCTGAGGGACAGCGCCCAGGCCCAAAGTTCAAGCCCCACGACCGACCAAAAAAAAAAAAAAGAGTCTCACAGACCCCCCTTTCCCCCCCCCTCCGCCCTAGCTGGCTTTGAACCTCGATCTTCAGATCTCAGCCTCTTGAGAAACTAGGATCACAGGCATGAACCAATGGCACCTGGCTGTATTATGTAGGGTATTATTCAATGCCTGGGCTAGCCTCATCTACAATCCTCCTACTTGTTCTTCCCCACATAGCTGAGGGTGATTGACATGCACCATTGCACCCACACATCAGTTAGATGGAGTCTCCTGCACTTATTTTGGCCCTGGCTGGCTTTAAATCACAATACCTTGATCTCTGCCTACCCAGCAACTGGAATGACAGCCTTGAGCCACCATTCCCAGCTTCTTCAGTACTTTTTCTTAAATAAAGAGCTAAATGCTGATTTTTTATTTTATTGCACATATTTTACAAGCAAAGACTGAAACAAAATCCATTTTCTTCTAATGAGAGTTTCCAAGATTAATTTCCTAACTACATAGGAAAAGAGGCCAGTGTGCAAGATTACACTGATTACACATCACCTCTGGTAATACAGTCCTTTCAACTTGCAACTCTCGCCATCTAGTGACATATTATGGCCTTACAACTTAACAAAACCAAGAAACTGATTTAAGCTCTGAAAAAAACACTGGAAATTCTTGGTTTCCTATTTAAAACAATTATCCTAAAGGAATTTCCAAAACATGGCACTGAACGGTACCAGCTGAAGGTTTGATGTCTGAAGTAATGAAAGCTAATTATAAATATTTATCATAATATTATAAATATTAATTATAAATACTAAAACCAAAATTTGCTTTTACACTTCTTTCCTTCTTTAAATTAGGGTCAACAGCCTCCAAGTAAATTGAAAATAAGCTTGTTTGAAAATCTGCATTAGGAATTTCTAATCTATTATTATAGTTTTCTACAACAGTCCAGAACCTTTGATTCCTGGCTAGGACTTACTCTTACTGACTGTCAAACGATTTCCTTCTCACTGTGTCCCTGCCTAGTAAAGAGACTGTGTAAGTTCTCTGCTGATACCTAAGTCTATCTTTTTTTTTCTTTTTTTCAGTCGGTCATGGGACTTAAACTCTGGGCCTGGGCACTGCCTCTTAGCTGTTCAGATTAAGGCTAGCGCTCTACCACTTGAGCCACAGCACCACTTCTGTTTTTTTCTGTTTATGTGGTGCTGAGGAAACGAACCCAGGGCCTGATGCATGCAAGGCAAGCACTGTACCACTGAGCCATCTTGCCAGTCCCCTAATTCTATCTTATCAGAGTTCTTCCCTCTGACCTCATTTAGCTTTAATTTATTCCTTCCTCCAGATACAATTGCATAACCAACAATATCTGCAGATTCTGCAGAGACATAAATCTGTTTCTATCAGTCCTACTGAAACATAAATTCTACAGATGTGCTTATCCGTAGCTCTTCGGGTAGATGGCACAGAAGGATTATAATTCCTGGAGTTTTAAATTTGCTGGTATTTTAAAATACAGAATTCATTATGCAATCACAAAATGGCTAATTATTCTCATAAAATCAAAAAAACAAGTATTTATAAGGAATCTTATTTTGCAGTTCTGTGAAGATTTTTCATGTGTACCTACTAAACTTTCAATAAACAATAAAATGGAGCCAGGCACCAGGGATTCATGCCAGTAATTCTAGCTATTCAGGAGGCTAAGATCTGAGGATCATAGTTCAAAACCAGCTCAGGTAGAAAAGTCCCCATGAGAATCTTATCTCCAGTTACCCTCTCAGAAACCAGAAGCAGAGCTGTGGCTCAAAGTGATACAGTGCTAGCCTTGAGCAAAATTGCTCAGGGACAGCATCCAGGCCCTCTGTTCAAACCGTGTGTGTGTGTATGTGTGTGTGTGTGTGTGTGTATTAGGTAATTTATGAAGAGGAAGTTCACTAAACATAGTTCTACGGTCCTTGAAAGCACTAGTGGGTTTCTTTCCATTGTTACATTTTTCATGTCTAAAACCATGGCAGGTATATGGGTAGTAGACATTGTCTCATAGGCTATCTACTCATCATTTATTTGCACATACTCATGCTTTGTTTTGAACTCAGGGCCCAGGTGCTATCCAGTATCCCAGAGCCATTTTTGCTCAAAGTTAATAATGTGCTACCATTTAAGTCACAGCTTCACATCTGGCTTTTTGGTTTTGGTTTTCTTTGGAGGGGTGCTGGTTAATTTTGATAAGAATCTCACAGACTTTCCTACCCAAGCTCAGGTAAGATTACAAAGGAGAGCCACCAACACATGGCTAACGCCAGCAGTAATAAGTAGATAAGTAGCTATCTAGTATTGAGTCTTTTTATGAATGTCAAATGATCATGAATTTAAACCAGAGTTATTCATGCTCTGATATAAACTCTAAAACTACATTTTTGAGACACATTTTAAGCACTGTAAACTTGACAAAGGACATATACATGTTAATTTTTAAAAATTGGTGATCATTCTTTTAAATGATAATTCCTACTATATCTCAATGCTTCCAGTGGTGTGCTCCTAACTAATAAGACTTGTAAAAATCATGCTTCTCCTGGGCATCTTCTAACAGTTCTGCTCTCTCTGAGGGTTTATCCCAAATGAAACAAACAGAAGGATGCTCTAGCCATTGTAAGTGCTCGCTGTGAGCCACAGGCTCACATTTTATGTTTATCAATTATCACTGAGAGGCCTTGAATTTCACACACTTTTAGGTTCTCATCAAGGCTATCTGACTACACAATGCAAGTGTATTCCTTTTAGTCAAACACATTTTTATAACATTCCTTTTTCTTCTTGTGTTTTCCTTTTGAACACAAGGACATACTATGCAGCCAGGTCACCCTGTCCTCATAATTCTCCTACCTCAGCCTCCAGAATGCTCAGGTTACAAGCATTTGCCACCACACTCCCTTTATTTCTTTACCATATATTAATTATAGAAGGATTTCACTGTGATATTTCTCTACCTGCATGTAATTCCCTATGATCATATTCACCTCCCTATTAGTTTCTTACACCTTGCCTCTTGTACAATTTTCAATAAATTTCATTATTGTATTTTCACACATGCAATCATTAATGTGCTTCAATCATATCTATCTCTTCATCACCCTCTCCATTCATTATCGCCTCCATATTGGTACACACACACACATATGCACACACACACACACACACACACACACACACATTTCCCTTTTACATTAATTTCATACTCTTTAATTACTAGCTCTAGATTTTACATATGAGGGAAAATGTATTTTTTCTTTCTAGCCTAGTTTTTCACTTAACCTGATGACCTCCAGTTCCATCCATTTCCCTACAAACAATAGGACTACCTTCCTCTTTATAGCTAGATAATATTCTGCATAGATGGATAGATAAATAGATAATATTACACATTATGTACCTTTTACATAAATATATATGACATATATTGCATATATACAACATATATGTGTATATGTACATATATATATATATAAAACATTACATTTCCTTTATCCAGTTATTGTTCATTGGTGAATAGGCACCCAGGCTGATTGCATAGCCTGGATATTATGAATAGTACTGCTATAGACATGCTGTCTCTATTATATGTAGACATACATTACTTTGGACA